CATCTATCTATCTATCTATCTATCTATCTATCCATCTATCCATCTTTCTATCTATCCATCTATCCATCTATCTATCCATCTATCCATCTTTCTATCTATCCATCTATCCATCTATCCTTCTATCTATCTGTCTATCCATCTATCTGTCTGTCTATCTATCTATCTATCTATCTATCTCTCTGTCATTTCCAGATTGGTTCAAACTTATTTTTAATTATCTCCAAACTCTAGTTTTAAGATCCCAAAATATTTTCTCATTCTGATATTATTATTTAATTTCAAAATGTTAACATCTCACAATGACTTCTGACTTCTTTTTCTTCTCTTCTCCGATCATCTTTTTTTTAAAAAAAGAAACATGTTCATTTTTGGTATTCTTGAGTTTTTCGGGACTTTAAAATGTTTTTGCATTGCCCTGGACTGTGATTTTTACATCAGGTTTTTTTTTTCTCCTGTTTTTGCCTTGTGATTTATGGAAGCAGCATGGCCAACGTTTGGAGACTTGTTTTAATTTATTTGGAGTGATATTGTGCGTGTGTGTATCGCCGGTGTTCACAGACACTGGGACGTCTCGGAGATTCAGCGAGTGTGAAATGATGAATATAGAGACGCTTTTTTTATGAACGTAAGGTGTATCATCAAGAGTCACATATATAGCAGCCGGCTCCTTCGCTTCTACGTCTGATATATTTTTTATAATGTAAAGAGTCTGGTGTTTTTGGAAAGAGAAAGAGAGATATATAAATATATATATAATTATCCCCATGGTGGTAAAGCTATTTGTCAGAAGCTGCTTTGGATCAATCTTTTCTTTCTGATTGTGACGGGAACAGAAGCACACTCATTTTACGCTCTTTGTTTTTTGCTATGCAACCTGAAGAATCTCAGCTCGTGAAAATCTCACGCATGTGGAAGCCCGTTTCTAACACACAAATAAATAAAAATTGAATAATTGTGACTATCAAAATTATAAAAAATAGCTTGCAATTAAGAGTTTATATCTGTTTTTTATATGCAATTTAGCATCTAATAAAAGTTCTGACTTTTTCAATCAAAAATGCAGAGAATTTGTAAAAATTACAGCAAAAAATGGGAAAGTTCTGATTTTTTTGTTACAAAAATTCTGGAAAATAGTAAAATTTACAACAAAAACTTGGAAATTTCTGAAATATAAAAAATCTGATGAAATGTAAAAAATTTTTTTTAAATATTTTGAAATGTAAAAATATTTAAACAAAAATTCAGAACAAATGTAAAAATTACAACAAAAACTTTAGATTTCTAAAATATTTAAACAAAAATTTTGATAAAATTTTAAATTTACAACCAAAACTTTGAAATTTCTTAAATATAAAAAAATCTGATAAAATATAAAAATTACAACAAAAACTTGTAAATTACTGAAAAATTGAAACACAAAAAATCTGATAAAATGTAAAACTTACAAAAAACTTGTACGTTTCTGAAATATTTAAACAAAAATTCTGATAACATGTAAAAATTAAAACAAAAACTTGAAATTTCTGAAATATTTAAACAAAAATTTTGATAAAATGTAAAACTTACAGCAAAAACTTGGTAATTACTGAAATATTTAAACAAAAATTCTGATAAAATGTAAAACTTACAAAAAAAACTTGGTAATTACTGAAATATTTAAACAAAAATTCTGATAAAATGTAAAACTTACAACAAAAACCTTTAAATTACTGAAATATTTAAACAAAAATTCTGATAAAATGTAAAATTTACAACAAAAACTTGAAATTTCTGAAATATTTAAACAAAAATTCTGATAAAATGTAAAATTTACAACATCTAGAAAATTTCTGAAATATTTAAACAAAAAATCTGATAATTTTAAATTTACAACAAAAACTTGAAACTTCGTAAATATTTAAACAAAAATTCTGATAAAATGTAAAAATTACAACAAAAACTTGAAATTTCTGAAATATTTAAACAACAATTTTTATTATATATATATATATATATTTAAAAAACTTTATTTGTATTTATCTTTATTATTTAATTATGACTATTATTATTATTATTTTTCAGAAACAGGCTTCCACACCAGTATCTTGAGAAATTGACTTGTTGACCATTTTCACTTTAATATCTCAGAGAGTGTTGATTGTTTAGTGTTTTGACCAGTTCAATAATGACGGTGTGTTCACCGCGGTATCAGTCCTGTTGATGGAAAAGCAAGTGTTTTATAGGAGGCTCAGGAAGAATTTTAACTCTTGTATTCTTTTGAGATAATAACAATACCCATTTCAGCTGCTTCACGAAGCGCAGCGTCTTCATCTTCTACAGTCTCTTTAACGCACAGAACGATCGGGAGAGTCGTACTGGATGTGTGCGTTTCAGCTTTAGTCGAACCCTTTGCCTTAAAACCCAGAGATTTGTCTGTGAAGCCACTTTTATACGCATCAGTTTAAGCTCTACAGGCCCAGATGCTCAAAGAAATGAGTTCTTGAGGTGTTTGAAATGAAATATTGCTGTACCTCAGCCAGCAAAACCTCTTTTGGTGACACTTTACTGTACAGTTGTGTGAGATGATGTTAATTCATGCATTCATTAATGTGAGTTACGCATTATTTAAAGGAGAAGTTCACCCAAAGATGAATATTCTGTCATCATTTATTCACACTTTACTTGTTTAAAACCATTATGAGTTTGTTGAACACAAAATAAGATATTTTGAAAAATGTTGGAAACCGGTAACCGTTGACTCCCATTTGTTTTTCATACTATGGAAGTCAATGGTTACCTGTTTTTAGCGTTCCTCAAAATATATTTCTATGAGTTTCTTTTTTTTTTTTGTTGAACACAGAAGCAGATGTTTTGAAGAATGTTGGAAACATTTGTTTTTACTACAATGGAAGTCAGTGGTTACTGATTTTCAGTTTCTTCAAAATATCTCTGTAAGTTTATTTTGTTGAACATAAAGGAAGATCATTTGAAGAGTGCTGGAAATCGGTACCCTTGACTTTCATTCGTTTTTTTCTACTATGGAAGTCAATGGTTACCGGTTTTTCAGCTTTCTTTAAAATATATTTTTATGAGTTTCTTTCTCTTAAACGCATATAGGAATATATTTTGATGATTGTTGTAAACCGGTAACCATTGACTTCCATTCGTTTTTCCTACTATGGTTACCTACAGTGGGTACCTGTTTTTAGCCCTCCTCAAGATATATTGCTATGAGTTTATTTATTTTGTTGAACACAAAAGAAGATATTCTGTAGAATGTTGGAAACATTTCGATTTGATTTTTCCTATTGTGGAAGTCAATGGTTACCGATTTTCAGCTTTCTTCAACAGAACTTTTTATTAGTTCTTTTATTTTGTTGAACACAGAAGAACATATTTTAAATATTTTAGAAATCGGTAACGATTGACTTGCAATTGTTTTTTTCTATAATGGAAGTCAATGGTTACAGGTGTTCCGCTTTCTTTAAATTTTTTTTATTAGTTTCTTTATTTCGTTGAACACAAAAGAAGATGTTTTGAAGAATGTTGGAAACCTGTAACCATTGACTTCTATTAGTATTCCTACTATAGGAGATGGTGGTAACTGGTATTCAGTTTTCTTTAAAATATCTTTTTATGAGTGTCTTTATTTCGTTGAACACATAAGAAGATGTTTTGAAGAATGTTGGAATCGTTTTTGAAACGATGGAAGTCGATGGTTACTGGTTTTCAGCATTCTCCAAAATATCTCATTTAGTGTTTAAAAGAAAAAAGGAAACTCGTAATGTGTTTGGGAGAGTAAATAGTGAGTAAATATTTATTTTGGGGTGAACTCTCCCTTTAATCTGTCATTCATTTATTTTCAGCTTAGTCTGTTTATTGCCACAGCGGCATGAACCGCCTTTTTAATCATTATTAATGTTAGTTTTTAATAAATTAACAGCTTAATTAGTTCATATTTACTTACGTTTACTAAACTATAGATAACATAACACGACCTAATAATGAAACACTGAATCTGTTATGTGTAATAACGTGTTCATTAATGGACTAATGTAAACTACAATGCTTCTCCTAATAAATGCTCAATGCATAATGAAGAATAATGTTAATGAAGAGGCTATAAACATGTTTATTCATGTGGACTCTAATAAATAAACTATATTATTATATATACTGAATTATTTATCATTAACAGAGCATTTATTGGGATAATTATGAGCTGTATTGTACTGAAATGTGTTATTAACACATCTGTGCATTAATTAATAACTGATGTGTTCATGTATGCTTCGTTATCGTTAATGAGTGCATTATATACTGTTGATCAGCACAACCGTATTGTTTAAAGTGTTGCCGCTGTTTTTAATAGTAGACTAGTCTGTGTTTAACCCCACA